TGTTTCCCTTTTTATAATAGTATTTTCACAATATCAATATTAACACAAAATAGGACACTGAATAGTCATGTTTTTTAAAGAACAAAACAAATAGGGTTAACATGTGTTATAAAGATAAGATGTATTCGATGTGCTTGCCCAATTAGGCCTACAATGGCCTTCTTCATTCTGATAAGTCTACAAACCCAATAGCCACTCGGTCCACAGGACTGAATGGATTTCTATTTGGTGGTGAAGGGACGCTTTCTGGAGAAATGTGTTTTTGTGCTAACATCTGAAGACCAAGGAAATTGGGTACCAATGTCAGTGAAGGCATACCTCAACAGAGAGAACAGACTGGACACATTCACTAAAAAGGGTCAGAAAATCAGCAACTTTCCCTTGGACCTATGCGGACACCCATTTGGGAGGCTCTGCCCTCCAGAGGAAGGTCTCCTGCTTCAGTTGCTCTTTTCAGAAAACACCCTTTAGAGACTTGTGAAGAATTGTGTGCCTTATTGGACTACAGGCACTATCCAGGTAACTACCAAGGTAGTCACCATAGCTACCCACATTTACAGAGCTACAGGGAATAAGGACATCACAATGGTCAAGCATCTTATATTATCCAGAGAAGAATGAACCTGTGTAATTAGTTAAAAACCAGGCTTAGAAATTATTGATTTATTTTAAGGAAACTCAACTGTTCATCTTTTCATATATTCCCTACTTTTTAATCACTTTAGTTTTTCTTTATCAAAAAGCAAAACAAACACAACATAGAAAGGGTGTCATGAGAAAAAAACAAAGGTGTGTCATGAGATTTCATATGAGACTGCATGTCCAGCATGGTCACTGGCAACCAAGCATGGTACATGGTAAACAGCAAAGTTGTGTGTTTTCAGAATGCTGATTCTTGCTCTCATTAGGAATACATTATAAAACCACTAAAAATTCTTACAAGGTAGTCACAGAAGGTCAGCTACTATTACTACACTTGAACTGTATACTGACAGAGCACAGGAATTTTTATTTACATAAAGCAATAACTACAGTGCCAAGTATTTCGTAGATACAAAAATAATGCCCTTTATTTCACTATATTGAAAATAGATGTGGACTCTTTTTCTGAAAATGATAATGACTTGATCTGTGACAAAATAAATGCCTGCAATCTATTATACAGATTTAATTTTCATTTCACTATGTTGTATCCCATGAACATTTCTATCTAGTCTTTAATTAAACATGATTTGCACAAATTGAGGTCAGTTTCCATTCAGACTGCGCACAGTGTTAATCACAGTGCAAATAACCATCATCAGTGGAAGAGCTGCATTACACTAATACATAAGTGTTCCTGTGTAATTGCCATCTGCTCTTTAATCCTGCATGTTAGTAGATAAGTACACGCAGGATGATTTGCTAAATTTTCTATTGTATTAAGTATGTAATTCGTTTAAAGTTCTTAGGAATTTGTATTTAAATGAATTTTGTGTTTTAAAAGCCTGGAAAGTATACTTTTAAGTGCTGAATATATCCTTTGTTGTCAAGGTCTATAAAACATTTTAATTTCAGCAGGTATAACTATCTGGTTTAATCTCTGGATAATGGTGTTGACTTACTTTGGAAGAATGAGGATAACCTTCATCAGATGGCAACAATTCCATTATTTTAAAAATTAAAGTACCACCAATGTTTTATTTACCTAATTCAGCGTATTTGAAACCTAAAATGAAAATATTCAATATCTTCTACTCAAAAATGAAAATATATGTTACAACTATTACCACCAAACCTGAAATCTGTCCCTACTGTTATTCTGTTAATTTCTCAAGTCAACAGCAGAAAAGCTTCCTTGGCATCATCTAAACTTGAAGTGTAAAAGGAAACTGACCTGCCCTGTTCTAAGCCTTCAGTCCTAAAACATGATCAAATTAGGTTAGGTTGCACAAATGGTCCTTATTATCTGTTCCTTTTTTTTTTTTTTTTTTTGGATTTGGGAAACCCACCTTACCTTCAAATGGAGAAGGCTAATACACATGAATACAGTTTTGTATCCTAAGAGTTGTGATTTTTTTTCATGACCTCCTGCTTGGAAATGCCATCTATATCTTGTCCGCAATTACATGAATTAAGCTCTTCCCTCAAATCCAAAATCAAATTATATTTTACTTTTTTTAATTTAAATTAGAAACAAGCTCACTTTACATGTCAATCCCAGTTCCCTCTCCCTACCCTCCTCCCCTGCCCCCTATCCCAACCACTTTCTGCTCCCCAGGGAGAGTGAGACCTTCCATGGGACATCTTCAAAGTTTGCCATATCATTTTGAGCAGGGCCTTGGTCATCCGCCATGTGTCTCAGCTGAGAAAGTATCCCATTATGTGGAGTGGGCTCTCAAAGTCCATTCGTATACCAGGGATAAATACTGATCCACTACCAGAGGCCCCATAGACTTCCCAGGCCTCCTAATGGACCCCCACATTCAGGGTGTCTGAATCAGTCCTACGCTGGTTTCCCAGCTATAAGTCTGGGGTCCATAAGCTGTTTCTTTGGTTTTTTCAGCCTGGTATTAAACCCCTTTGCTCATCACTCCTCCTTCTCTGCAACTGGATTCCACTAGTTCAGCTCAGTGTTTAGCTGTGGATGTCTGCTTCTGCTTCCATCAGCTACTGGATAAAGCCTCTAGGATGGCATATAAGGTAGTCATCCAACTCATTATCGGAGAAGGGCATTTAAGGTAGCCTCTCCACTATTGCTTGTATTGTTAGTTGGTGTCATCTCTGGACATTTCCCTAGTGCCAGATTTCTCTGAATCTATAATGGCTTCCTCTATTATGGTTATCTCTCTTCTTGCTCTCCTCTATTCTTCCCCTGATTCAGTCTTCCTGGTCCTTCATGTCTTCCTTGACCATCCTCTTCTCCTGTTATCTTTCTCCTGACTCCATCTCTCCTCCCCCCAAGATCCCAATTTGCTCAGGGGATTTTGTCATTTCTTCTTCAGGAGACCATGTATGTATGTATCTCTTAGGGTCCTCCTTGTTTCCTAGCTTGTAGACTGGTAATCCTTTGCTCTATATATAAAATCCATGTATGAGTGAGTACATACTATGTTTGTCTTTTGTGATTTGGTTACCTCACTCAGGATTATTTCTTCTAGTTCCATCCATTTGAGGGTCATGTAGGTTGCTTCCAGGTTCTTGTTATAACAAATAATGCTGCTATTATATAATATTCTTCAGACATAAGTACAGAGTTTTATCTATATTTCTGTTTATAAAGAAATAACAATTTCTATCTTATTTCATAAGACAAATGATATGGTCTTAGAATGAAGCTTCAATTTATTAGCCATTGACATAAGATCATCAAGGATCCATTTCAGTAGATATGATACAGAGAAAGACATATTGGGCAGGTACTAGAGTGGCTAAAGCTGATCATTGTCATAAACTGAACTTACAACAAAATGAATGGTAAAAGTGAGTTCCATCACACTAAAAATAATAGAAATTGGGATCACACCAGAAAGCTGGGAATTTCATCAGATTCCAAAAACAAAGAAAACACAATGGAAGGATTGTTCAGGGATTCAAAGTGCTTGTTACTCTTTCAGAAAATACGACACTGTTCCCAGCACCTTCATCAGTTGGCTCACAACTGCTTGTAATCCAGGAAATTCAGCACTCTCTTCTAGCTGACTTCCACACTATATTCTAATGCATGTATGCATACATGCTTAAATACATGGATACATACATGTAGCAGGCTTTTTTAAGAGCCTCCAGCTCAGTCAATCAATCAAAACCGGACAAGGACATTTCTTTTATTGCTTATTTGTTTGTTTGTTTGCTTGGTTTTAGAGATGGGATTTCTCTGTGTAACTGTCCAAGTTATCCTGGAACTTGGTTTGTAGACCAGGCTGGCCTCAAATTCAGAGATCCACCTGCTTTTGCCTCTGCTTTCCCGGTGCTGGGATTAAAGGCAAGTACTGTCACCAGCTTTGACGTGTTTCTAACTAGTTTTAACTAGCTCTTATAACTTAAATTAACCCATTTATATTCATCTCTATGTTGCCACATTACTTGTGGCTTTTACCTCTCTTGCTGCATATCTTGCTCCCTCTAGTCTGGCTGGTGACATCAAGGTTTTTCTTCCCAGAGTAATCCCTGTCCAAAAGTCCTGGCTATAACTCCTGCCTAACTATTGACCTTTTTGATTTCTATTAAACCAAACATAGTAACATATCTTTACACAGTATAATCAAATATATTGCAACACATACATGCAAATGCACATACAAATACAGATAGAGCAAAAGTTAAATACATTTTAAATATTCACATTAATTTTTTGTTGTCCAAAGCTAGAATGGAGATGAGTGTAAATCAGTGAATGGTTTCTTTTTACTTATTTTTATATCATGTGTAATGATGATATAGCAAAGGTAAGTCCCTCTAGTCACTCTAACTTTAGAATTTCATGAATGAAATTAGGAAGTGATCATCATTTACACTTATTATATTTTACATGTAATGAGATTTAGCTATTAACTCTAATTTGCTTCTCATCAACGGCAAACTATTTAGAAACTAAACCTCTCTGTCAGTTAGAATTTTAATGAATTACGATGAAATGAGACAGTGTTAATTGGCAGTTATTGCTGCAGGATAGATTTGAGATCTTGTAAAAGAAACCAATTCATCTCTCCATCAGGGTTAATTTGTCTGATTTAATTCTAAAGTGCACCAAATATTTCCCCAAACTACTCATATTTATTTTCAATATTGGGGAATGGCATAAGACTTTTGGCCTTCCATATGAATTCTCAATTCTCTTTGAAACTATTTAATTTTTAAATAAAACGTTGGTTTAAGCAACATTTGTGTTATTGAAAATTGTACCCATAAATTCAAAGAAGTAACATTGTATTACTTGTATTTCACACTAGTTTTTAAGATACCTATGTTTTTTAATATCCATTAATTTGTGTCAATACCTTTTGTGCTTTCTGCCTCAGATATAAATGAATGTGAAGCTGAACCTTGCAGAAATGGTGGAATATGTACAGACCTCGTTGCTAACTATTCCTGTGAATGCCCAGGGGAATATATGGGAAGAAACTGCCAACATAGTAAGTGTTGTTATGTAAATACATTTGTGCACACACCTGCTTTCATTTGTAAAGTCTGCATTTATAATGGACTAGGGACCTAAATGATTATCATCTGCTTTGAGAAAGCATGACTGATTGAAGTGGCTCATTGCATATGTGATCTTATTAATACACATATCCTCTGAGGGTATTATTCGATTCACAGACATGAATAATCTAAGGAGAAAGACAGACTCCCATGATATTATCAGGTCTATTTCTGCATTGGTGCCATTTCAAATGCCAATATGCATAACACTGAAACTTAAGACCACAAAGGGAAATAGTTTAGATTGGGAAACTAACGGGGACAAATAGACTCAACTGCAGGTAACATATGGAGGTAAAACAGGGTGCAGCTCAGCTGGCATCTATGTCAAGGTTTTTACATGCAAATTCTAGTCTTCGTGGAACCCATGACAATAGAGTTCTGAGATTATGGGTCTAAAGGCACAATAATTATTTACTCAAAAATGCTAAAAAGGAGGAAGATATTATTCCTCAACAGACTTGTTTTTAATTAAAGGTGGAAAGAAGAGTGACAGGAATGTAGTCAATGGAATGGGACCTAACTTGAGGCAAACCCATGTTAGTGATTAACACTAATAACAGTGTTTTGTAATTTTAGGACATTAAGAAAACTTCATAAAGTGCTGATTTTGTGCTATTACGCCTTCTGTGTAATACAATAACTTAATGCAAATTCACAATCATTATTCAGATTGATATTCAAATATAGAAACTGAGACCCATATATGATGTGGTTTTTCCCAATTCTCATAACACAGGTGGAAGGATTCAGGTCTCTTTTTTTTTTTTTTTTTTTTTTTTTTTTTTTTGGTTTTTCGAGACAGGGTTTCTCTGTGGCTTTGGAGGCTGTCCTGGAACTAGCTCTTGTAGACCAGGCTGGCCTCGAACTCACAGAGATCCGCCTGCCTCTGCCTCCCAAGTGCTGGGATTAAAGGCGTGCGCCACCAACGCCTGGCTTGGATTCAGGTCTCTTACTTTCCATTTTTTTAGGTTCCTCTAAACTGAGGGTCCTGTTGTATCTACCAGATTCCTGTGAATGAACACACAAATTTGTTGTCTAAACCAATTGAATTGAGAATGATAAAGAAGAACTACCAAATGACAATGATAAAGTAGAATTTTTTCTCTTCAGCAGCTGTTTTTGTAGAGACACATCTTGATTATTTTTCATCATTTACATATCATTCATTTCAAAAAACTTCACAGGAATATTTCAATGCCTCAGTTGAGTACTACAACTACTAACATGATTTGAATGAAATCTTAACTGAAAAGTTCAGAGTGTGGTTATGGTTGAGTAATACAGCACATGCTTCCCACGTGTGCGAGGAGGCAGGGGTCTTGAATTGATTATCGGCTTTGGAGAACTGATCTCATTTCCTATTGCTTAGGTGGACTGACTTTGTAAAGTCTAATTAAGAAAAAACAAACAGAAACAACAATAAAGGAGATAATTTTACACCTTAAACTTTCTCTGGTTTTCCTTCCTTTTTATGACACTTTTCATTTTAGGCTTTCTGTATGTTAAAGCAGATTTGTCGACAGAATTAAATGAAACATTTGAATCATTAGTGACATAGCACATTTAAATGTAAAAGTATTTATTCATTATAGCTAAACAAAATCAAGGTATTTAAGAGCAAAGTTAGTTAAGCTAAATATATGAGTTATTTATTATAAAGTATGGTTCATTTAGTGTAGCTATAATGTACTATTACTTAATCAGCAATAAATGTATATCTTATCTTTTATGATTTGATGTCCAAATATGAGGTTTCCATCTTGTAAATTTTGAGCAAAATACAATTATTTCAAATATTGAGAATGAGCTCTTCTCTGGTGTTGATGTATCACACCTTTAATCCTAAAATGCAGGATGTGAAGGCAGAAAATTACTGAAAATTCAGGGTTACCTAATCTACATAGTAAATCCCAGGCATGTCAAGATTACATAGCAAAATTGTTTCTTATTGCCTCCTTCTCCCAGTAAAAAGCAACACTCTGCATTTGACATGAAAATGCCTAACAGATGTTAGAACTGTTTAATGACATTTCCCAATATATCATTAGCAGTTACTTATTAATTATATCTATAGTTGGGTTAAGGCAAAATAAATCAATTCATGTTAGACATTTGTATAATTCATACAACATACTTGCTTTAACATACATTATTTTCCATTCATTTATTGTAAAATAGATTAAAGTTCATTGTTATTTATTTTTAATGGAATTGCTTTTGAGTGACATCAATATCATTTAGGTGTTCTTATAATGTTTATTACATTATCGTAAAAAAATTCCACTAATTAAAGTCTTCGTGTAGATTCCCTTGATTATTTTAAATGACAAGCTCATAAGCTCAGGAGGCCATTTTCATAAATTGAGAAAACTGATGATGTTCTGCAATGAAAACAGATATGAGAACAGACATGTTTTATGAGAACAGATATGTTTTGCCATGCATGTTTAACTGGATGTGATATCTGAACCATAATGGCACATTGGAAGTTGAGACCACATTAGTTAACTAATCTAAAAATAACTCGACTTGATTTTATTGTTTGGGTTTTGTGGCTCACAATAACAATGTGCATTTCCCTCTTGAGTGTTTAATATGACATTATTAAATCTCAGAAATGGCACTCAAATGCATTTTCATTCCTGGCACTATTTGTAGAAATTAAAATAGTTACCCACAGAGCTCTTATAATGCATAACTCCTGAATATTTTGCCATAAATGAATTAAGATTCAGATGATTTATTGGAGGACTTATTAAAAACAGAAACTAAACTCTTCAATAGAAATTAAAGTGATGCTTAAAAATGTCAAATTGGTCTAGCTTTTCAAATGAACAAAATAGTATAAGTCATTCTGTAGACCTTTACTCTGGAAATTCTACCTATGATTATAACAAAAGATGACATATGTGACATCATTTGAAAATTTAAAATTAGACTTATTTATCTCCATTTTGAACAACCACCACTGGAACTTTCACCACCAAAAGAAGTAATATTTATAAATACCCAAACACATATAAATGTCTATTTTTTTACTTGTATATGTGTGCATTCGTCTTTTTGCTGTTAGTGTGTATGAATAGATATCTTTCTGTTAACATAGGCTTACTCAGCAAAAAGTACTTCAACATTTTATGCATACAGGTGAAATGTGTGTTACACCCTTAACAATTGATTGATGACCTTGTGAAGATAAATTTTAAGGACAAACATTTTTAATGAGCTATATCTTTTATCTATGGTCATTTAATAACATTGCTATTAATTTAGGCAGCATTGTATGTCAAACACTCTTCGAAGTAATTTAGAAATTGGCTTACATAATCCTCCCAGCAACATTTGAAATAGATTCTATCTATTTCTAGTTCCACTTTCCAGAGAAAATTAAGTCTGTGAAAGATTAAGTAATATTCTTAGGTATGCATGGATGGTAAACTATAGTTTGTTCTGAATCCCAGCTAACTGCAGCTACATAACCTGCAACACTACATATGATATTATCCTGACACTTGTGGTACAAAGGAATGAGTATGTTACACCACATACTCTTAAGTGCCTGCATTTAAGGAGTGACAATAAGTAGTAGTGGCAATATTGGAAGAAAGAACACAGGCTTTGCATTCAAATGGCACTGGGATTCAAATTCTCACCTCTACTATTCATCTTTCTATACTATGAGGAAGGTTTTTTAAACTTTTTTATTTAGAAATTTAATTTATTAATTTATTTTTATTTATTAGATATAACTTGATTCACATGTCAATCCCAGCTTCCTCTCCTTCCCCTCCTCACCAGCCCCGAAACAATCCTCCAACTCCCCATCCAATCCCCACTCCACTCTCCAGGGAGGGTGAAGCCCTTCATGGGGGATCTCCAAAGTGTGTCATATCATCCAGGGCAGGGCCTAGGCCCTCCCCCATGTGTCCAGCTGTGAGAGTCTCCTTCCATATGGAATGGGCTTCCAAGATGCCAGGGATAAATACTGATCTAGTACTCGGGGCCCCAAAGCTTGTCGAGGCCTCCTCACTGACACCCACATTTGGTGTAATCCTTGTAGATTTCTGGAAATTTTATTAGTTCCAGATCAATCCTCAAACCTTTAATGACTCCCTCTGTTATGGTATCTCTCATCCTTCGATCTTCTAGTCTTCCCCCAACACAATTTTCCTGCTTTCCCAAGTTCTCCTCTCCCCTGTTCTTCTCCCCCTCACTTTACTCCAGCTCACTCTCCCCCTCATGTTCCCAGGCCACTCAGGAGGTCCTGTCTCATTCCCTTACTCTGGGGTACCATGCATATCTCTTAGAGTAATCCCTGATTCTCAGACTCTCTGGCGATGGGACTGTAGGTTGGCACTCCCCTGCTTCATGTCTAAAATCCATATATGAGTGAGTTCATACCATGTTTGTCTTTTTGTGACTGGGTTACCTCATTCAGGATGGCTACTTCTAGTGTCATCCATTTGCCTGCAAATTTCAAAATTCCATTGTTTTTTTCCACTGAATGGTACTCCATTGTGTAAATGTACCACATTTTCTCTAACCACTCATAGGTTGAGGGGCATTACAGATTCTGGCTGTTACAAATAATGCTGCTATGAACATAGTGGAACAGATGTCTTTGTTGTATGAATGTGCATCTTTTGGGTATATGCCTAAGAGTGGAATTGCTGGATCTTGTGATAGACTGATTCCCATTTTCCTAAGGAATCTACATACTGATATCCAAAGTGGCTGTATGAATTGGCCCTCCCACCAGCAGTGGAGGAGTGTTCCCCTTTCTCCACATCCTCTTCAGCATAAACTGTCATTGGTGTTTTTGATTTTAGCCATTCTGACCGGAGGGAGATGGTATCTCAGAGTGGTTTTGATTTGCATTTCCCTGATGGCTAAGAATGTTGAGCACTTTCTTAAGTGTCTTTCAGCC